TTTTTTTTTTTTTTTTTTTTTTTTTTTTTGAATTTCAGGTATGTGAAGATGAAAGCTGACTGGTGGACGAACGCAGCATACTACAACAGAGAGAGGATTCGTCGCGGTGCTACGGTGGATAAGACAGTGTGTAGAAAGAACTTGGGTAGATTGACTCGTTTATGGTTGAAAGCAGAGCAAGAGAGACAGCATGCATATCTGAAAGATGGGCCTTATATAACAGGAGAAGAAGCTGTAGCAGTGTATACAACAGCTGTTCATTGGCTTGAATCTAGGCGTTTCACTCATATACCTTTTCCCCCATTAAACTATAAACACGATACAAAGTTATTAATTCTTGCATTAGAAAGATTAAAAGAATTTTATTCGGTGAAGTCGAGATTGAATCAAAGTCAAAGAGAAGAATTAGGTTTAATTGAACAAGCATATGATAACCCCCATGAAGCTTTATCACGTATAAAAAGACATTTATTAACTCAAAGAGCATTCAAAGAATTAAGATTAGAATTCATGGATCTATACTCTCATCTTATACCTATATATGAAATAGATCCACTAGAAAAAATCACAGATGCATATCTAGATCAATATTTATGGTATGAGGGAGACAGCCGTCATCTCTTTCCTTCTTGGGTTAAACCAGCAGATACAGAACCTCCCCCTTTATTAGTTTTTAAATTCTGTCAGGGAATCAATAACTTAACAGATGTGTGGAATACTAGCGATGGAGAAAGTCTTGTTCTCCTTGAAAGCAAATTCGAAAAGGTACGAATCAGGGTTTAGGGTTTAGGGTTTAGGGTTTAGGGTTTAGGGTTTAGGGTTTAGGGTTTTTATGGTGGTTTATAGAGAAAGAAGGATTCTTTCTTGTGTGTATCATGTTTTGTATTTCCTCTTTTTTCCTCTCTTTATCCTTTTCCATGATTCCTTATTTCGAGGGTTTATTAGGGTTTACTAGGGTTTATGAGGGTTTAGGGTTTATGTTTTGTGTGTGTTTCAGGTGTACGAGAAGGTGGATTTGACTTTATTGAATCGTTTACTGCGATTGATAGTGGATCACAATGTAGCTGATTATATAACAGCGAAAAACAACGTAAGTATAAGTTTCAAGGATATGTCTCATGTAAATTCTTTTGGTTTAATCAGAGGTTTACAGTTTTCTTCTTTTGTATTTCAATACTACGCTCTTATACTTGATCTCTTGCTCCTGGGCCTCACCAGAGCAACAGAGATTGCGGGGCCCCCAACATTACCGAATGAATTTCTCTCCTTCACTGACGTTCAAACCGAAACCAGGCACCCCATTCGACTCTACTGCAGGTACACCCCATCACACACAGCTAGCCAGCTAGCTAGCTAGCTAGCTAGCTAGCTAGCTGGCTACCTATCTAGCTACATAGCTGTTACTTAGCTACCTAGCTAGCTACCTAGCTAGCTACCTAGCTAGCTAGCCAGATAGGTAGATGTATCTGTTGTTGTGTGTATATATAGCTAGCTAGTTAGCTAGCTGTTTATGAGTTGTATGATAGTGTATATTATGAGTGTATGTTTGTTTGTTTCTGTTTGACATATAGAGTGTTTTTCTTTCTTCTTTTTGCGGTGTATGTACAGATACATCGATCGCTTCTGGGTAGTATTCAAGTTTACAAAAGAAGAAAGCAGAGATTTAGTTCAACGCTATCTCACTGAGAACCCCGATCCAAACAACGAGAATGTTGTTGGCTATCCAAACAAAACTTGTTGGCCAAGAGATTGCCGCATGCGCAGGTAAACCCTAAACCCTAAACCCTAAACCCTAGAAACACGGGGGGTTGCTAAACCCTACTACTACTTCAGCATATAGGTTTCAGGGTTTAGGGTTTAGGGTTTAGGGTTTAGGGTTTGCATTGTGTTGAGTTATTTTCATTGATTTGTTGATTTAGAACAAAAAGTGGTGTGAGTATTTTATGTGTATTTTTTTTTTTTGTTTTTTCTCTAACTTGAACTAAACCAATGAAAATTTTCCTTTTTTTTTGTTATATATATATATATATATATATATATATTTTTTTTTTTTTTTTTTTTTTTTTTTTTTTTTTTTTTTTTTCAGGATGAAGCGGGACGTGAATCTGGGTCGTGCAGTATTTTGGGAGATATCGAATAGATTACCTCGATCATTGACAACACTAAACTGGTCTTCTTCTTTTGCATCTGTATATTCAATAGACAATCCGAATTTATTATTTTCTATGGGGGGTTTTGAGTGTCGTATATTGCCTAAGATTCGCATGCAAACAGAAGAATTTTCACAAAGAGAAGGAGCATGGAGACTACAGAATGAAACAACAAAAGAACTAGCAGCACAAGCTTTTTTAAAGGTAGGAGATGATGGAATGAGGAGATTTGAGAATAGAGTACGAATGGTATTGATGTCGAGTGGGGCAACAACATTTACAAAAATAGCAAATAAATGGAATACAACATTAATATCCTTGATGACGTATTTCAGAGAAGCTGTGATTCATACAGAAGCTTTATTAGATTTATTAGTAAAATGTGAAAATAAAATACAAACAAGAATAAAAATAGGGTTAAACTCAAAGATGCCATCGAGATTTCCTCCTGTGGTTTTCTATACACCTAAAGAGCTTGGGGGTTTAGGTATGCTTTCTATGGGGCATATACTAATACCCCAATCAGATTTACGTTATAGTCAACAAACAGAAACAGGAATCACACATTTTCGTTCAGGTATGTCTCATGAGGAGGATCAGCTGATTCCAAATTTATATAGATATATACAAACATGGGAAAGTGAATTTATAGAATCACAAAGAGTATGGGCTGAATATGCATTAAAAAGAGGAGAAGCAGCAGCACAAAACAGAAGGTTAACACTAGAAGACCTAGAGGATAGCTGGGATCGAGGGATCCCGAGAATAAATACTTTATTTCAAAAAGATAGACATACACTAGCATACGATAAAGGATGGAGAGTAAGAGAAGATTTCAGACAATACCAACAGCTCAAAGCTCATCCTTTTTGGTGGACTCACCAGCGTCACGATGGAAAACTATGGAATCTAAATAACTATAGAACAGATATGATTCAGGCTTTGGGTGGGGTTGAGGGTATACTAGAACACACCCTATTCAAGGGGACTTACTTTCCTACCTGGGAGGGGCTCTTCTGGGAGAAAGCTTCAGGGTAGGTGTATACACATATACACACGCGAGGGTTTATGAGGGTTTAGGGTTTAGGGGGTTGCGGGGTTGGGGGAGGGGTTTAGGGGTTAGGGGTTTATCTGGGTAGGGGGGGGGTATGGATTAGGGATGAGGGATGAAGGGTTAGAAGGGGGCAGATGAGGGTTTATTGATGATTAGGGTTTAGGGTTTAGGGTTTAGGGTTTAGGGTTTAGGGTTTGTGTTTAGGTTTGAGGAGAGTATGAAATACAAGAAGCTGACGAATGCACAGCGATCGGGTCTTAACCAAATTCCCAATCGAAGATTTACTTTGTGGTGGTCTCCCACTATCAACAGGGCCAATGTATACGTTGGTTTCCAGGTGAGGGTTTAGGGTTTAGGGTTTAGGGTTTAGGGTTTAGGGTTTGGGGTTTTCTTTTTGGGGTTTACAAGTGGGGGAGGCTAGAGTCTATGTCGTTTCGATAGGCTATGCAGTGGTATGTAGGGTTTACATTTCTCCTGGTTTAGGGTTTTCAGTGGTTTAGGGTTTTCAGTGGTTTAGGGTTTAGGGTTTAGGGTTTAGGGTTTGGGGTGTATGTACAGGTGCAACTGGACCTGACGGGTATATTTATGCACGGAAAAATTCCCACATTAAAAATATCTTTGATTCAAATTTTCAGAGCTCATCTGTGGCAGAAAGTACACGAGTCCATCGTCATGGATTTATGTCAGGTGGGGAGGGTTTAGGGTTTAGGGTTTAGGGTTTAGGGTTTAGGGTTTGGGGTTTGGTGGGGTTTTTGTTGTTTTGTTTGTTTGGTTGGTTGGTGGGGTTGTAGAGGTGGTTTATCTCTTGGATTTTTTGTTGCTTCTTGCCTTTTTCGGTGTTTCCTTTTTTGTCTTCAAGGGTTTAGGGTTTAGGGTTTAGGGTTTAGGGTTTATAGGGGTGAGGATGACTGTATAGTCATGCTAATTTGGAGGGGTTTGCCGACGGCGGCTTCTCTGAAAGAAACTAAACTTCTCATTACACACCTGAAACCCTAAACCCTAAACCCTAAACCCTAAACCCTAGGAGTGAAGTGTAAACCCTAAACCCTAGCTTTTGTTCCTTGTTGTATTGTTTTCTTTATGCCCTATACAAACCCTCAAAATACCCCACGTGGAGGGAGCTGCTCATCTCTCCTCTCGCGTGTCTAGGGTTTAGGGTTTAGGGTTTAGGGTTTAGGGTTTCTGTGAAAGTGTTTAACATACATAAACACATACATACATACATACAGAAATACATAAAAAAACACACACATACATACATACATAAATACATAAAAACACACACACTCATAAATACATAAATAAATAAATAAACAAATACAAAAAAACAA